TTTTCTCTAAAACATAGTTAATGTTCGGCTTTGCTGTGACACAATTTGTCTTAAATCTGGGTTTGATTTTAGGACGCCCAACTACCAAAGTAACGAAGATGTCACTTAACCATAACTTAACAACAAGTTAAAAAAATATTCAAATGAATAAAGAACACGTTCAAACCTATTAAAACTTGCTCTGGCATAGCCTTACCACTTTAAAAAAATATAAAAGAATTTGTAAAACTTAAAATATACTTTAAGAAACTATACTTAGTCCAAAATATTATTGTTGGTTGTAATTTTAAGTAAAACCTACATCTTTCCTATATAACTGTGGCTTATAAAAACTTATTTTCTCTAAAAAAGGCATTCAACATTCAAATTTTGGGTTACTTCCAGTGCTGTACTGAGATTATGGCAGAATATTGAGTGATCATTCGTATATGTTGTCGAATTTCTGAGTAGATGAATAGCTCTCAATTTTCATCTACAAACTTATACACAATCATTATTTAAATAACTTTGTTATGCGTTAAGTTATGTACATACGAGTATTACAAATATGATATTCAAATGCATAGCATTAAATTTTTGACACATCGACGCATTTGAAAATATCGTACTAAAAGAAGAAATAAAGAAGCTCTGTAGTAGTTCCGGTAGAAAATCTACGAATGAAAAGTCGAATCTGCTAATCCTAACTAATATTATATATGGCTGCGAAAGTGAGTTTGTAACAAAGTCGAATCTCTGGTAATCCTATCGTAAACCTAACTAATATTATAAATTAATACGAAAATGAGTTTGTTTGTAGCTCAATCACGCAAAAACTAATGAACGGATTTGGATGAAATTTGGTACGCATATAGCTTATCACTGGATTAAGACAGGATACTATTTATCCCGGAAATATGTTAGGCTCCTGTTCTCAAAAAAAGCAAAGTTAACGCGGACGAAGTCACGGGCGACCGCTAGTATATACATATATATGAACGGAAAGTCGATAGTGAAAACAGGTCAAAGATATCGTAACTTAAGACATGTAGGTGGCTCCTGGGAGGTGAAGCGAGACAACTGACCGTCACCATACACCATGGCTCGCGGAGACACGCTCAGCCGATTCGGGCAAGATGTAAGTACTTGCAAAGGTTGGATTCTTTTCTTTTATAATTTTAGGGTAACTCACAGCTTTTTCAAAGGAGTATGGTTGACTGTCACGCGTGGCTACGCGTAACCGAATTTTTAGTGAATAAAGTAGGATTTTTTTTGAATCAATGCATCCTAACAGACTCTTTAAATTTAAAATAATGCGTGAAGAATGGGGTACGATGAGTTTAATAATAACAAACGTCGGTATTATTTTCCTTCATAACCCGTTTTGTGTACAACAATAATACAGATTTTTCAGATCCGATATCAGAATTTTATATTGTATCAATTATTCTATTTTGATAGAGCAGCGGGTACCAATATTTTATTTTCCATTTTGCCATTCAAAATTTCAAAATAACATTATCTTTATGCTAACCAATCACGACACTGTTATTCTTTCAACTACTTTTACTCTCACTCGACCGAAGATATTTACAGATTAAACAGATATTACATAAGTTTAAAGTGGCGGAGATTTGAATAACCTACTTTATGACGTGTTAAGTTAAGCCTCATTAGATTACGTTTACAAATCACCGTATCACGGATATTTGAAAGGTTTCCATCAATAGGGATGACTTGCTGGCCCCACGGTAAGTAATCAATTTAATTGAACCTTAATGCATATGAAAATAAAAGTAAGTCTTTTGCTTTCAATACATTTAGAGGGTCCCTACCTTTTTATTTATCAAAAATTCAAAAGCAAAAGTCGTAACATTATTGTGAATAGACAAGGGGCGGTCTTAATTACTACCTCATAATAGTTTTTTAGCCAGTATTTTTAAGCATGTAACTGCTCGATGTTCAAATCTAAAGAAAATATAACTAGAAAAAATTCCACGCGGAACAGGTAGCAGACGGGACTCGAACCCGCACCCTTCGCTATCCGGGCTAATGCACTGGCCAATTATGCTACCGCGGCCCTCATGGCCGCGTCGAAATTCTTCTAGCCATTCTAAAGCTGCAAGGCAGCGCCACCTCTTCGCATTGTAGGTAACCTACAATGTCAAATGAATACTTTTACAAGTATTAAACATTTGAAAGAGGAAATGGAAAATATAGTTATAATTTTTATTTTTTAAGCATGTAACTGCTTGATGTTTAAATCTAAAGAAAATATAACTATAATAAGAGATAAATTATTAAAGTGAAGAAAAAAAAGGTCAGAGACAACCTCAGATGATGCTTTTAAAAAAGCATAGTAGAGTTTATATAGTGAGGTTCGTGAAACCGGACTTAATAACTGAGACAAAACACGAAACTGTGGTCACCTTTAGGGTGTAGGTTACTTCGCAATTAGAGCGGGAAAATATTATTTATTCTGTACCGAATGGTGGAAGCTTACCATCAGGGGGGGCATGTGATTTTTACAAAACTTCTTGACATTCACGTAACGAGATAGAACTCAATTTTATCTATTCGAATTCAATATTGGTTCATGCTACCAAACAGAGTACAGTTCTACCAAAGTGTACCGGCACAGACTAGTCTCCAGATAGATCGAGCTTACCTACAGCTTTTGAAAACATCACCTTTGAATATTATACTGACAAATTTAAAAGGTGCTGAAGCTTACGCGAGCTACTTAGCATAAATCATTCACATTTTCAACGACAATGAAAATTAACACAGCAACATAAATAATGTCTAGGTCATGTTATAAGAATGTCATTGTGAATCATGTGAGTATGAGTAAATTCAAAATTGTGATTAGAAAAGAATTTAGGTATGATATAATAGGTAAAAATATATACATATGTATATTTTTACTGACAAAAACATATTGACCACTAGCGGCCGCCCGCAACTTTGTCCGCGTTAACTTATAGTTTTTTTTTTCTAAAATAAAAGATTTTTCTGAAATGAAGTAGCCTAAGTTACTCCTTATTACATCAGCTACCTGCTAATTAAGTCCCGTCAAAATCGGTCTAGCCATTTCATTAGCCGGAACAAACAGGCAGACAGACAGATAGACAAAAATTGTAAATATGTTATTTTGGTGTATGAACCGTATATTTATTCATATGCATGTAGTAAAAAGCGGTTATTTCAATATTACAAACAGACACTCCAATTTTATTTATATGAATAGGTAACCTGTGATGTATTAGCAGCGACCATACCTTTTATAACGAAAGACCTTTGTTAAAATTTTAAGATTCATTCATTCAAATTTTACTATGCTGGACCCGGGTAGATATCATTGCTTATGACGAGCACAATAAATATTTGTTTCTATATGTACTTATCTGTCATATCGTCATTTTTTAGTTTTCGTACAAATGCTTTAAATAATTATACTTAATTATATAAATAAATTAGCAAAAATAAAAACCGACCTCATAAAAATAAAAAAAAAACCGACCTTTTTATTGGTTTTGTTTTTATGAAGTAGGTTTTTATTTTTGTTTATATAATGATGATGAAATGAATTTTATTTATGTTTATAATAAATAATTTTTTTTTTTTATTTATTTTGTTTGTAATCGGAAATATTTACAGCATTAAAAATACTCAAATATTACATAGATATTTTATCATTGGTCCCCCAATGTCCCCTACTAAGGCACACGCCTTCCAATAGAATCACTTAGCAACTCTCTCCCTTTTATAATTTTTCATAAAATAATATGGATAACCAGGTAGTCTATGTCCAGTCCAACGAAATCCTAAATTGCGATCGAAACTATGCACCTTTCTTACTATATTTTTCATATTTGTTTCTAATTATATTAACCGTTCGCGCGTAAGTTGTCTGAAGTTTGTATTAACCAAACTTACTTAAACGTAGTTTAGCGTTCACAATAAATACAACCCTCAAACTGACAAAAATAAATTTCGTTTGAACTTCGTTACTGAAAGTTCGTTTTCAAGTTTCAAAGAAAGCGGATGAATGATGAATTAAGGAAAAAAAAAATTTCAATATTGAAATAACTGATTGTACGAGGTAACTAATTCCCAAATGGTTAAGGCAAGTGACTTAAGTAGTTAACGATCAGAAACCGTTAAACTTTACTCTTCGTCTATATTTGATTTGTTGTTAATATTAGAAACAAAACAATGTTTGATTCCTTTATCTAATAATAAAATTTGAAAGGTGACACGACAAGAAAAAAAGTCCACACGTAATTGACACCAATTTTCCGTGTTTGAGACAATCAACCTTTGGCTCTGTCCTTGCTATATTTTTTTTTATTCGCCGTCTCTAATGATTGGAAGGGAGTGCTAAATTGATATATTTTAATACCAGATTGATTTTTATATTTAGAGACTCTTTATATACCATTTTTTACTTACTGAAAAAAATATAAAACATAATATACAGTAAAAAAAGGCCAGTTTTCTATAGAAAAATACGGCGAAATTTCCTAAAGGAACAAAAAATTATGTGATTTCAAAATAAATCCTCATAATTATTATAGCTATTAACGGGATTGTTACCGTGTACCTTGTTTTTTACGAGTCTCCGATATTTCGGTACTGTTGCAAGCGCCATGATCGCGAAGTACTGTATGTGTATGTGTTACTGTGTTAACATCCCGTTAATAGCTATAATGTTAGTGACCATGAAAGTTTAAAACAATTAATCCTCATAAATTTACTTCGGAATAAAAAGAAACTTTTTTTTTGGACATATTGATATTTGACATTGCTACTTTTAATTGCTGAACAGCATCATAGAAACCTGTTATCTGTTACTTGACAACTTCATGACCACAAAAAAAATGTTTATACCTAGTAAGAAAATTAAATAATAATGCGAAACCTGATATACCTGGTGTGACCTGTGATTACTAATGAAAAAAACTATTTGCATTATATTTTTTTATTTATTAGTATAACTTATAGTAAAGTATCATAACCTGTTTAATCATAATGTTGATGACGCACCAGTATGATGCTACAAAATCACTCCACCGTAAAAAGAAAGAACTTTGGGCAGATACCGGGTGCAAGATATCAACTTGCAAGGAACAGACGCCGGAAAGGGGAAAAACAGTTGACCGCCTCCTCAACTTGGCAGGGTAACAGGAGAGCGCGCTGTGAGCGGGCGCACGTGAGGACCGCACTCGTGCGCGCGCCGCGGACGAAGCCGCTTCCTATTTTGAATCCGGAACGTTAACCGTTCCTTTTTCAAATATTACAAGCAATTCATTCGCTTCTTGATTTCCGTTATCTTTGTGCTGGTGATACAAACTATTTTGAGGATTTAGTGCCAGTGTGTCTGTGGGATACTTCGTGCTCAGGTCAGTTGAGTTATGTTATGTACTTTTTGGTGAGTTTTTGAAAAGATCCTTAACTGTAAAGGTGATTGACTAAGATTGCTACAGGACTGTATAATAATTATTAAATTTGTATAAAATAGTAATTCCATCACTACGGAAATGGGTAATATTTTACAGAACATATTAATGGAGTGACCCGATAGGTGGGTAACGCTTTTACATGCAAGCTTTGAAACATCTTAAGAAAAGACTTCAACGATATCGAACCAGACTTCACGGCGTCTTTTAATGTCATGACATAAAAAAATCCATAGACATTTGACTCATATTAATAACTTGTAAATTTCATTTTGTATGAGATACGTTAATAGACTACTTTTATATGGAATGTTATTGAAATTTAGCAAAAATCTTTAAAAATAATCCATTGAAAAAATATTATTTTACCTCGTTAAATAATAATGTAATTTTGTTATGATTACATTTTTAAGGTTTCGAATAAAACACGTTCTCCGACGTGAGTTATCAGGTTTTGTAGTGATATCCGCAGGTTAGCTTCGTTGATTTAAATGTACCTATGTCTTTTGCTTACGTATTTAGTTTACACCTACATATTATTGACATGTTATAGCAAATATTTCATATAAGCAAAAATGCAACAGAGTTCTTTCTTTTTTATACAGCCGTGAATCACATACGTGCTATTGGATTCTTACCTAAAAGTATTTAATGACACCTTCTACGTGTTTGACAGATCCGTAATTGATTTATGATGGTTAAGTGATCTGTTTAGGTATTAACTATATACCGGATATTATGTTTATGGCATCACTATACTAATTTTAATGAAATGGCGATGACTCTAAATTTCGATACAATTTCAAATTTGTTTTGTAACAAAACAATACAAAATCATTTTGCTATTGTTTCAAGAAAAGAAGTGTTAGGAACAATAATGTATGAAATAATGCAACAGAAGTTTCATTATTGACTTTTTCTCAGACTTTAGTCACATTTGTCTTCTTGTTTCACAAACAAAAGACAATTTCAGACAAAACCAATTAATTTTGTGGTTTTCTTTTGGTTTTTCTTTCATAAATAGCGTGTAAAACGTTCGTTTATTCTCTCAATCTGATGAATGCTAATGAAATATAAGAAAAATGCTAATTGTAAGTTTATCGAATTATATTCACTGTACTCTGTTTATATCATGTTTTTGACGATTCTGTACCTCAAGCACCAATATCTAGCGAGAAAGTATTCGAGAAAATATGAAAAAAAGTAGTTTGTTCTTACGTCCGGTAGGGCCACTGCTTAGTTTTCACAGAAACTTTGACGTTGGCGATACGAATACGGAGGCTCGAGCACGAACTTGGACGGCTCCGTAATCTTATCGCATCGTCTTTTGTATGGCAGGAGCCAGTTTCTTCTTACGTCCGGTAGGGGCACTGCTTAGTTTCCACAGAAACTTTGACGTTGGCTATACAAAAACGGAGGCCCAAGCTTGAACTTTGACAGCTTCGTAATCTTATCGCATCGTCTTTTGTATGGAAGGAGCCAGTTTGTTCTTACGTCCGGTAGGGGCGCTTCTTAGTTTCCACAGAAACTTTGACGTTGGCGATACTCAAACGAAGGCCCAAACATGAACTTTGACAGCTGATCGCATCGTCTTTTGTATGGAAGGAGCCAGTTTGTTCTTACGTCCGGTAGAGGCACTGCTTAGTTTTCCCAGAAACTTTGACGTTGGCGATATGAATACGGAGGCCCAAGCACGAACTTTGACAGCTCCGTAGTCTTATCGCATCGTCTTTTGTATGGAAGGAGCCAGTTTGTTCTTACGTCCGGTAGGGGCACTGCTTAGTTTCCAGAAACTTTGACGTTGACGATACGAATACGGAAGCCCAAGCATGAACTTTGACAGCTCCGTAATCTTATCGCATCGTCTTTTGTATGGAAGGAGCCAGTTTGTTCTTACGTCCGGTAGGAGCACTGCTTAGTTTTCACAGAAACTTTAACGTTGGCGATATGAATACGGAGGCCCAAGCACGAACTTTGACAGCTCCGTAATCTTGACGCATCGTCTTTTGTATGGCAGGAGCCAGTTTGTCCTTACGTCCGGTAGGGTCACTACTTAGTTTCCACAGAAACTTTGACGTTGGCGATACAAAAACGGAATCCCAAGCATGAACTTTGACAGCTCCGTAATTTTAATGCATCATCTTTTGTATGGAAGGAGCCAGTTTGTTCTTACGTTCGGTAGGGTCACTGCTTAGTTTTCATAGAAACTTTGACGTTGACGATACAAATACGGAAGCCCAAGCATGCACATTGACAGCTCCGTAATTTTTACGCATCGTCTTTTGTATGGAAGGAGCCAGTTTGTTCTTACGTCCGGTAGGGGCACTGCTTAGTTTTCATAAAAACTTTGACGATGCGATATGATTACGGAACTATCAAAGTTCTGGGCCTGTATAAAAGCTCTTGTTTAGGGTACAGACTCTATAGTAGCTTACACATTAACACAGTACTTGCCTTTTTTTTTCTGTGCTCCTGTGATGTGTTCGATATCAAATTAAGATTTCTTTCTCTGAACCACTAATTGTCCCATTGATTTGAATATATATCCTCCGACGACCTCCGTGGCCGAGTGGTTTGTATACCGGGTTTCATGGTGTCGCCGACTCGAGAGATCCCGGGTTGAAATCCCGGTGGGGCCAGATGTTTGTGTAATGAATACGAGCATTTGTACTCCAGTCATGGATGTTTAATATGCATTTCTTTAAAAAATATACTTATGTGCAGTATATGAATTCTATCTGTGACCCTAGTTATCCCATAACACATGTATTATAGTGATTCCTTTGGGGCTAGGCTAATTGGTCTGAGTGTTGGAAATATTTATTTATTTATATATAAAAAGGGTAATACATATAACTAAGTATAAATGTTTTTGCATGTCTAGCTAAAATTCTATTGATTCACAACATTTTTTGTTCGTATACGATATCGGCAATTTTCTTGTTCTTAAGCCGCTTAAAATCTCTATTTAAATTACGATGTTTATAAAAAGCTACTTAATTGGTAGCATAACATGATTTTTTCAGTAAACTTCGTTGTACCTATGGAGAAGAATTGGCGTAAAAACTCCAGAACATAATATATTTACAGCATAGGTTTTACGTAACATACCTGGGGTTTTCCGAGAAAGCATAGCAATAAAACACCTTGGATCACATTATGCTTAGTTTATAAAAAATATGGTTACTTAGTAAGTAAGTACTTAATGGTTTAAAAACACATGTAGTTTCTTATGCCTACACAAGTTCATTTGTGTTGTATTTTATCTAATATTTAAGGGATTTACTGAGATTTAAAATTTGCTTTGAGTTCACTACTGATAAAGGTAATATTTAACATGTATAATGGGGGCCCTGTGGGGCCTCCGCCGGTACGGGGCCCAGGTTTTTTACCCCCCCCCCCCCCTTTAAGACTTAAAGTCTTATGAAAAAATCTTTTAAAAGTAATAGTATCCGTAGCCGGATTGATAGTCAAAGTTATTTCAAGCCAAAATACTTCTATTAAACAAATATACTATGACACAGCGAATATCATAATATTCCTTGTCGACTAATGCCGGATTAGTTAACTGCCCTTTATTCGTAACATGTTTGTTCCCTAAATATAAACTTGTGCGTAAATCTTTGACATTTCCCTATCCCTCCTGTTGCGTCACCTGTCTGGACTTCCGGTATTGATAAAATTCTTACACGACATCTCGTCGTCAAGGGAACATTGTATGGGAAAAACTAAGTACAGACCTACAAATAAAAGCAATCTCAAAAGTCAAGGCGACGTACACTGATTGCTTTGGTTGCATTTTTGAAATAATTTCTAAAATATTTGAATTTTTAATTTTATACACTTGTTTAATCGTTAGTAACATTATAGCACATCAGTATTGTACTGAATTATCACGAAACATCTACTTATTTGAAATATGCTTGCCTCATTCTGAATAGCATACACTAAATCACAAATACCATAGAGAAAATGTCTTAATTTTTTGGTAATTATTGTCCGAGACTCGAGACTAGCAAGGTCAACAGCCTTCCTATCATCAGCACCGCTTTATGATATATTTCACGTTTAATTGTCAAATTACAATGGATTTTGATAGCCAGAACTGATAATTATAATATAGGTTTCGCAGTTCTCATGCTACGGGGGCTGGCGTGGAGGCTTTAAAAAAACATAAAAGTTGCAACCATGAACTACAACTCTCGTTTTGTTTACTAGAGTCATCCACTTATATACGTATAAAAAATATAGTTCGGCGGAGTCCCTTCCAGCGACAGTCTTTTGTCCGAGTAACAAGGACGGCAAACTGCTTATTGCGAGGGAGGTGCGCAGACGCAGGTCCCGCGCTGGTGCAGTATGCGTTTTTACTTCAACGGCCGCGCGTTTGTAGCGCAAGTCAAAAGTAAAGGGTAATCAATGATAAACAATTGTGCAGAGGTGAATATGTTCCGTTGAAATGGGTAATGCCTATAACGGATAAGATTTAATATTTTCTGGCAAAAATTATGGCTTTTTAACCGAATCTTCTACTTTTTTTAAAGGATTCGGTACCAACGCAAACAACATTTTTTTTCATATCGCAATAGGAAATAGTTGCAAAAACGCATTTAGTACTAATAAAAACTTGCTATTGCTCAGATACCTTGAAAAAATATCTGCAAAAGTACAATTCAATTTTAATTAAACAATAAATACTAACAGAAATTGTAGTAACAAACTACGAAAAAAAGGAGAAACAGTACCTTGGGTTACGGAGACAATGACCTTTCTGCTGAAGCATGAGTCATAACTAACTCAGTGACTAATAATTAACTTCTTAATTGTAAGTAGTAGCAAAAAAACTGTCAAAACAAAAGAACGGGCGAGCGAGTCGGTGAGAAAATCCTCTATTTATATTAATCAAAGTTCCATCATCAGAAAACGGGCACAGGTCGATGATGGTC